AGCATATTCATATATTCACGTTCACATACCGTAAAAAGAATCGCTTTCAAAAGAGATCTGTCGGTTAGAACACGAATATATGAATATGCACCCACCCCCAAATATAATTATCGGTCTAGCTACGGCCTTGCAGATAACGTCGAAATTTGAAGACAGAACTGCGAATATTTCGGATAAAAGAGGGTCAGATTGAGTAATTCTCGTTATGCTCAATTCCTCGCGACTCTTGTTGGCATCTCTAGCCGAGCGGAATTAGTACCCTCGCTGCATGCATAGCTCTGGGTTTAGTCAAAGCCCACAGCTTTGCTATATATTATTTAAGCATAAGTCAGTGCGTTTAGATGTTCAATATACTCTGGCTGTTTTCTCCTTAATTCACCGTGGGTCGTGAAGGGGGGGGGGGGTACCAAATCGCAGGTTTCAATCTAATACATACAATTCCCATTATAGACTAATTTTAAAACTAGGAAGGAGTTGCAAATAAATCACCACAGATAGAAAGAGCATACTAAAATGAGTGAAATTGCAAACTTTGGCCATGGTTGCGAAATGTTGTAAAATGCGGAAAATATAGGCCTTGCAAAGTTTGCAAGACTTTTGTATTGTGTGCGAAAATTGATTTTTCGGCCCAAACGTGCAAAATTTGCGAACTTTGCAAGGCTATATATATTTTCCGCATTTTAGAACATTTCGCAACCACATTTTGCAATTTTACTAAATATAGTGTGTTCTTTCTAGTTGTGGTGAATTATTTGCATCTCCTTGCCTAATTTTAAAATTAGTCTATAATGGCAATTGTCTATTGTGGCACAAATTCATGAACATAACACGAGAAATGCATCAAAACTTCACAAATGTTATAAAAGAACAAATTATGTAAAACACACTCTCTCAAATAAAGGAGTTGATGTATGGAATTCGTTAGAAACAAAACTTAATGAAGTAAACTCCTATAACACCTTTAAAAAGAAAATTAAACAACATTTTTTGCTATACACAATTACCAATATATAACACATACTTCTCTAATGTATACAATGACAAATACTTTAGCCCAACATTGTCATTGTAAAATTAAATGCATCTACAACATTACTATTAATTGATATAATACGAACATTCCCACTTCTTTTTCTCTCTTGTAAATATAGTGTATATACTTCAAAACTTTCTGATTTTACATATTATGTAGTGATTGACTGACTGTAAATAATCGATTATGTGATAAAACGAACAGTAACAAAAAAAGTCTATGAAGATTTCTAGTAGGTCTCTAGCCCAACATTTTCAAATTATTGTAATATATTTTAAGTATATTTTTATACATGGGAATCGCATTCCCACTGGTCTGCAAGGGATTATTAGGAAATAGCAGGTTAATTTAATTGAATGAATCAACACATGGTTAATCTAAAATTGAACTTACCATGCACAGTATCTAATAAAACATCACATTTGCCAAGCGGAAGAATGTAAAAGTTCCCACCTGGCGATACGATCTATGGCAATATTCATTGAGACAACTGTAGTTCTTAGATAATATTAATGCATTCAGACGTATTATACGATATCCTTATATAGTTATTCCACCCTCTCCTCACTCTTTTCAATGTTGACTATGTGAAATGCATGGACAATTCGCTTTTTGTGGAGCCAATAATGAAGGGAGGCGGGGGGGGGGGACTGGGTAGGCTAGACTTTTCAAATGATATGAAATTACGGTTAGTATATGTCACATAGTTTTTGTAATGACTGTAGCTTCTCAAAAATCCTTCGATTTCAGGCAGGGGTGACAATGGCTACAGCACCCTGTCTGGATCCTAGTCCCAGCCGGAGAAAATGAGTATTTTGTTGGAAAAGTGGATTTCTGCAACATAAGTGATCAGTTATGACTCATTCTTTGAAAAGCCGATTTCCATAGTTTATTATCTTTAATTGTCTTGCCGAGCCAACGGCGTGGACCGCTGTTCCTGGGCGAGGGTACTAAGCCGCCCGGTTATTTGCACCGGAGAAAGGAAAGCATTAGCGAAATCTAAAGTTCATCAATAATCACGGGCGTGTGACTATGGGTGTCTTAATGCAACTATAAGTGCTTTAGGATAACCATTGGAAGAAAAGCTTTTCTTAAAATTTTTCATTTCAGATAGGAAAAACATATAAGAAAAACAAATATTAAAATATCTAATATTAATATTTATTATTATTTACATTAATATTTTATTTTAAGAATGTTATTATTGACATGTTTTAAACATGAGCGGTTTTAACTAAGAAGAAATTAAATACTCGAAGGCACGCTTGAGAAGGTATGCAAACAACTATTCAGACACATCGACGTGTACGAAACTAGTTAAATAATTGATACCAGAGAAGTACCAGGCGGGAAACGAATTCTGACAATAAATATTAATGCCCAGCAAAGTGCTTTTAAAAGAGCCATAAACCATTAAATTTAAAAATTTTATTAAAGATTAAGTAACGTTTCGTCTTAACTCAAGACATCTTCAGACTATATTAAATTACAAGCTGTAAGAGTAATTAAGCATAAAGTAAAGCTATTATAGCAATATTAAATTACAAGCGAATACGAGGTACACAAAACGTAAGCATAAGAATGGATAATGAAGGGAAGTGACGAACAAAAATGAGAACAACCAAATTAGACAACACAATACGACAAAACATAAAAAAAAAGAAAAAAAAAAAAGAAAAAAAAAAGAGATCAGAATACGTGAAGAGGGATTGAACTGCCTTGAACGTTGAGAGAGGGTTTCATTTTAGAGATAAAAAAGCTTTCATGAATAAGGAGTTCTTGTTCATCTGAACAAGAGGAGAGGATTTCGAAGTCGTCAATAGAAGCAGCGTGGCCTGGAGCGGGATATGTCAATGTCAAGAAATGGGAGCTTACCATCACGTTCAACCTCACTAGTGAAGCGAATGTTGGTGTGCTGGCGATTAAGATATGTGAGAAAGAGCTGTACATGCTCTGAGCAACGGAAAAGTAGGAACCAATCGTCAACATATCGTCTATAGAGAAGTGGTTTGAAAGACGAAGGACAGTTGTGAAGCCAATCCTTTTCGTGAAAGGACATAAATATGTTAGCAAACAAAGGTCCTAAAGGACTACCCATAGCTATGCCGTCAACTTGATGATATAAACGACCATTGAACACGAAATGACAATTTTTGACAGAAAGACTTAAGAGTTTAGTAAAATCAGAACGAGTGAGGCCATGAAATCTACAACAGTTAGAAAACAAACGATTAGTAATTATCTCAATCGTTTCATCAACAGGGATGTTAGTAAAGAGTGAAGTAACATCAAAACTAGCCATTATAACATTACTCGTATCAAGATCAGAAGAAAGAAGTTCCTGGACGAAAGAGAAGGAATCCTTAATGACATAAGTGCTGGTCGAGATGGGAGTGAGAAGAGGAATAAAGAATTTAGCAATATTATACGAATAATGATTAATGCAAGAAAGGATAGGCCTAAGTGGGATATTACATTTATGTGTTTTAGGTAGTCCATACAGGATGCCTAAGCGTGAACCTGTAGGATACATTTCATTGTAAGTTTTTTGATCAATTGATTCAGACGCTTTCTGATTTTTCAGCAGAGTCTTGACATGATTTTCGCGCTGTAGTGTTGCTTTGACAGGATCTTCATTCAAGAGTTCAAATTTCGTGTTATCAGACAGGATTTCCTCCATTTTTTTGTTGTAATCATCTTTGTTTAGAATAACAACGCCGTTACCTTTATCAGGTCTCATTATCACGATGTTACTGTCTTTTCGTAATCTTGATCTCTTCTTTCGTAATCGTAATCTTGATCTCTTCATCTTGATCTCGTAATCTTGATCTCTTCTTTTCGTAATCTTGATCTCTTCATTATCACGATGTTACTGTCTTTTTGTAATCTTGATCTCTTCTTTCGAGTATAAGAAATTCGGCCGACTATAGCTCCGGAAACCAGAATGAGCTATGTCTTTTATTCGGGTCTTAATAAATGCCGGGTAAAATCCAGAATGTTCATAAACCGGTTCTCGTTTAAGTTGAGAGAACAGTCTTTCAAATGGCGCAAAGAAACCGCACGGATTAAGCTTGGCAGGCGGAATGGCAAAGTTCAAACCTTTCGAAAGAATCTCCTTCTGTTTATCTTATGTGTCTTTCGATCAACTAAACGGCTCTCAACCTTTTTCTCTTTTAAGGACAAAATACCCAAAGCACTGAAGTCGGGTGTAGTGTACTCTTTTACGTGTCGATGCTGTTCCGCATCGTATGTGGGTCAAACCACGCGCCATCTACACACCCGAGTTTCGGAACATCTGGGTATCACTCCTATCACTGGCAAACAATGTAAAAATCCTCCCCAGTCCAGCATTTTTTCACATCTCACATCCACAGGCCACGCTGCTTCTATTGACGACTTCGAAATCCTCTCCTCTTGTTCAGATGAACAAGAACTCCTTATTCATGAAAGCTTTTTTATCTCTAAAATGAAACCCTCTCTCAACGTTCAAGGCAGTTCAATTCCTCTTCACGTATTCTGATCTCTTTTTTATGTTTTGTCTGTTTGTGTTGTCGTCTAATTTGTATGTTCTCATTTTTGTCCGTCACTTCCCTTCATTATCCATTCTTATCCTTACGTTTTGTGTACCTCGTATTCGCTTGTAATTTAATATTGCTATGATAGCTTTACTTTATGCTTAATTACTCTTACAGCTTGTAATTTAATATAGTCTGAAGATGTCTTGAGTTAAGACGAAACGTTACTAAATCTTTAATAAAATTTTTAAATTTAATGGTTTATGGCTCTTTTAAAAGCACTTTGCTGGGCATTAATATTTATTATCAGAATTCGTTTCCCGCCTGGTACTTCTCTGGTAACAATTTTGAATAACCGCTACAATAATGGAGCACTTGAAGCTTTCAGAAAATTTCAACGCTTGGAGCTCAAGTTGGGTAAAGCCAAACTAGATCTTGAATTTCTGAAAGCATGCAAAAATGGCTCGGTAATACCACGATTCCTGTGGTTCAAGGTTGCGAATCGCCGTTTGCGGAAATCCAGCGCCTACAGACAATGTCAAAACAAACTGTTACAAGATGAAATCAACGCCAAACACGCAAGAATACGAATATTATCAGCGCAAGCAACAACAACACACGCGAACCTGGCTTCACTTGTTTCTACGCTTGATTTTATTCACCTAAAGAACATTTCCGATCGTGAAAATTCAAAGAAATTGAACCAGCATCAACGTGTTCAAGATCGAAAGTTATTTCGCCTAAACGCTGAGCAAAAACACTCAAACACAATAGATCCGAATGCAGTGGTGTTCAATTTCTCAAACCGACTCATCACAGATAAAGAGAAGGAGATTCTTTCGAAAGGTTTGAACTTTGCCATTCCGCCTGCCAAGCTTAATCCGTGCGGTTTCTTTGCGCCATTTGAAAGACTGTTCTCTCAACTTAAACGAGAACCGGTTTATGAACATTCTGGATTTTACCCGGCATTTATTAAAACCCGAATAAAAGACATAGCTCATTCTGGTTTCCGGAGCTATAGTCGGCCGAATTTCTTATACTCGAAAGAAGAGATCAACATGCTAAATGACTTACGAAAAGACAGTAACATCGTGATAATGAGACCTGATAAAGGTAACGGCGTTGTTATTCTAAACAAAGATGATTACAACAAAAAAATGGAGGAAATCCTGTCTGATAACACGAAATTTGAACTCTTGAATGAAGATCCTGTCAAAGCAACACTACAGCGCGAAAATCATGTCAAGACTCTGCTGAAAAATCTGAAAGCGTCTGAATCAATTGATCAAAAAACTTACAATGAACTGTATCCTACAGGTTCACGCTTAGGCATCCTGTATGGACTACCTAAAACACATAAATGTAATATCCCACTTAGGCCTATCCTTTCTTGCATTAATCATTATTCGTATAATATTGCTAAATTCTTTATTCCTCTTCTCACTCCCATCTCGACCAGCACTTATGTCATTAAGGATTCCTTCTCTTTCGTCCAGGAACTTCTTTCTTCTGATCTTGATACGAGTAATGTTATAATGGCTAGTTTTGATGTTACTTCACTCTTTACTAACATCCCTGTTGATGAAACGATTGAGATAATTACTAATCGTTTGTTTTCTAACTGTTGTAGATTTCATGGCCTCACTCGTTCTGATTTTACTAAACTCTTAAGTCTTTCTGTCAAAAATTGTCATTTCGTGTTCAATGGTCGTTTATATCATCAAGTTGACGGCGTAGCTATGGGTAGTCCTTTAGGACCTTTGTTTGCTAACATATTTATGTCCTTTCACGAAAAGAATTGGCTTCACAACTGTCCTTCGTCTTTCAAACCACTTCTCTATAGACGATATGTTGACGATTGTTT